GGTCAAGTTCATTGTAGGGAAAATTGGGGTCTATGGGTAAGAGACGAATTTTTTAATAAAATAGATATGTTATGGTAGTGCCATCTTACGGCTATAATATTTTAAAAACATTTTTTTTTTGAAAGTTCGAAAAAAATAATTTTATGAATTTTGTAATTTTTTGAAAATTTTGAACTTTAGCCAAATTGATGAACTAAATCTGTTATGAATAACGTACCTATTTTATTCAAAAATTATCCCTTAAATTTTAACTTTAACAGATTTAGTTCTTCAAACTGGCCAAATTTCAAATTTATCAAAAAAATTCCAAAATTTTAGAAAAATTGTTTTTTTTTCAAATTTTTCAAATAAATTTAAGCAAAAATTTAAATTATGGCACAAAACGTTTTGTACGTACGTACGTTTCAGTAATTTTCTTTAAGACACGATTCCACTAGGTTTTTTTCTAAATAATATGTTTTGGCAGTTTGTTACTACTAACGAATATAGACCCGTAACATAGCATTACCATAACATACCTAAGTTAGTTCTTCAAATTGGCCAAAATTCAAAATTTGAAAAAAATGACAAAAATGCAATAAATCAATTTTGTAAAAATTTTCGAAAAAATTTAAATCTGTTATTATAATAAAATATTATAGACCCGTAACATAGCATTGCCATAAAGTTTATCCAAAAATTGACCCTAAAATTTTTACATTAACAGATTTAGTTCTTCAAATTAGCCAATTTCAAAATTTAAAAAAAATTACAAAAAAAAATTTTGGCAAATTTTTTTTAAAAAAAGTAAAGCTTTTAAAATATTATAGACACGTAACATAACATTACCATAACGTACCTATTTTATCCGAGAATTAACCTTCAAACTTTTACTTTAACAAATTTAGTTATGCAAATTGGCCAAAGTTCAAAATTTTCAAAAAATTACAAAAAATTCCATTAAGATAGTTTTATCAAAATTTTCAAAAAAAAAAATCTTTTAAAATATTATAGACCCATAGCATAGCATTAGCATAACGTTCCTATTTTATCCGAGTATTGACCCTTAAATTTTTACTTTAACAGATAGAGTTCTTCAAATCGGCAAAATTGCAAAATTTTCAAAAAACCAAAAAAAAAAAAAATCTCAAAATTTCCAAAAAAATTTAATTATTTTAGCATATTTAAATTGAGGTGTCACAGATTTAATTCTTTAAATTGGCTAAAATTCAAAATTTTCCAATAATTTAAAAAAAAATATTTTCCTTAAAGTTTTCAAAAAAAATAAATATTTTAGCATATTTAAATTAGGTTGTGGCAACATCCTGCATTTTTTTTCAAGACACGATGCCATTGGTTTTTCTTTAATAATAAGTCGTTACAAAACTTGTTTCGAATATTCCCCTAAATCCGTCATCCCCTAACATCAAATAGTATACTACCTCAAAGGGTTTAATACATTTTTTATGCACACACGCGCCAGTAATTTCGCATGACGTACGTCAATTTAAACGTCTATTTATCAACCGATTACAAAGGTATTTCTACCTGTCTACAGGTAGGAATGAATTTACAATGAGCATTTAATCGAACGGAATCCTTTGGAGGGGCTTAATAGATATCAAAAGGAGGATATCCAATATAATTTCCATGACTCAGACCATAGGGTAGAAATTAGGTCGATACCTGGAGAGGTTTTTAGAGGTTTCTGAACATTTTGGCATACCTTAAAAATGGATGTATGTATGTATATTTGGATACGATTTTTCGTACACTATTTGGAGAGCACGGATCAACCGATTTGAATGATTAAAAAAATAATGAAATCCATGTTTGGATTACAATTAATCTCCAATCAGCACTAAAATTGCAGAACATGTATTTGTAAATAAAAACCCTGCATTTCTCAAATTCCAAACACATTACTAACAGTTTCATACAGATTTCTTTCTCGACTTCTAATTTACTTCTCAATACTATTTTTATTATACTTTGTCGGAATGCACGGAATCCACACAACGAATTAAATATTTATTACATTCGACACCTGAGTATATAATTTCTAGGTTCATGAAACATAATTATATGGTATGACGCAAAATCTTCAATTTCTATTTCGATAAAACTTTGGATGCGTAGGCGACTATATAGGGCTATCAAATTTTTATTATAACCCGCCCTTTACAAAGTGTAGTATATTATATGACGTAGAGTTATTGATTTGTTCGGAAAGTTTTTTGAATACTTAAGGATAATTCGTGGAATACTAAAATTTTTATTATTGATGATATAAGGTATACTAGATCTAATTTCTTCTAACCAACATGGTACATTTTCAATTTAATAAAAATAAAAAAAATAATATGGAGGACCCTTAGAACTATCACAACTTTATATGAACAGAATAGTAAAATCACTTATTAAAGTGATAAATAAAATAAAAAAGAGAAAAAATTAAAAAAAAAGAGAAAAAATTAAAATGCCTCAATTAGAGCTGTTGCCAAAAATGTTAATTGTTCTTTTTATACAATAAAGTAATTTAGTTTCAAGGTAGTACAGAAATTAGTCATATGCACATTCCAAATAAAAACGATATTTATGTATTTATGCTCGAATTCAGTCATCCGATAAAGGCTGTAAAAATTAGCACAGTGTTTATGATTGCAAAATAGTTCACAAGTTGCAATTTTTTGCAGGTTTAATGAAACATAAAAAGAAATATGAAATATACTGCATAAAATTTGCACATGGAAATAAAAACTAGAGGTGTTTGGCATCGTGTCTTAACATTAATAAATAAAAATAATAACGAATCAACAAAAATTAATTAATTATCAACAACAATATTGATTATTCAAATAAGTTTTATTTTTTGCACTCTTTGCTCCGTATCTCAAAAACGGCTGGACCTGTCTTTACCAAAAACTAATCAGCACGTCTCCTCGTCAATTGGAATATAATGTTTTTTGAATCATTTAAATTGGTTTATAAGGACTTTTGAAATCGTGAACAAAAAAATTAATTATTTCAAACTTACTAAAAATTACTTAATCCAAACATACATACTACATACACTCTTATCTATATTTACCTTACTATTTCAAATTATTAAAATTTTTCAGAACTTTCATAAAATTTCAAAATTTTCATGAATAAATGAAACATTTTTTAAAAAATATCGATATTATAGAGTTGAAATTATTATTAATTTTCATAATCATTTTTTAATAAATTATTTTTTTGAATTTTGAAAATTCATTTATTTATTTATAATAATTAATTGTAACTTTGCAATTAAGTTTTCAAATGTTTATATATTGGTTTTATATAACTGTTAGAAGTTTGAGGTAATATTTTATATATGGTAACTGTTTGAAGGACCTTGTTTGCATTCTTTTTTTTATATATGTCTAGTTTCTTATAAATATATTAGACGGTTGTCGCCCAAATATAAGCACTTATATTTGGAAATTTGCAGTAATTATAATAATTATTTGTAAATATGGAAGAGTCCATTCATGAATATTAAGTAAAAGTAAATAAGAAACGGCGTAGAGGCATGAAGTTTAACTTATTTTAAATTATTGTAAAAAATCAATTATTTTTTTAATAATAATTTTTTTAATAATCATTTTTTTTTAATAATATTTTTTTTATTTTCACGTTATAGAAAAAATAGAAAAAAAGTTAATAATTACAAAAATTAGCTGTTGTTAAATTTTAAAAATCCTCTCGTACATATATTTTCAAATTTTGAAAATATTAAAGAAAAAAGCATTTTTTTTAATTTCTAGACTAAAAGCTCTATAAACGAGTGTTACTATCTTTCCGTAGAGTAATCTCAAAAAAATCGAAAATGAAAATTTTTATATATTTTTACGCTTCAAAGGTTTCTGAATATTTTGGCATACCTTAGAAAAAATGGATGTATTATTTGTGTGTAAAAAAAACATTTATTTCTTATAAAAAATTGAGAATACTTCTAAATTTTCAAAAAAAAAAATAACAACTAGTGGGGTATACGGCATCGTGCCTTACGGCAAATTGCTGGAACTTCCCGTACCGTAACGAAATGTTCGAGGAATACTGAATGTTTTCAAATAGATTATTATTAATATTGTAACATTGTTTAATATTTATAAGATAAACTGAATTGCAAAGTTGAAATTATTTGTTTAAAGTATATTAGAACTATAGTCAGAATTGAAAATAAAATCTGAATTATTTTCGATGTACAAAAAAAAAAAAGTTTTTTCCAAAATCAATTATTTTGTTAAAACAAGCTGAAAGTTCTTCGAATCATTTAAATTGGACGTTTAGTTCTCTCAAAAACTGCCATTTTTCGCACATTTAGCTCGGTATTTTCGAAATAGCTGGGTCTGCCTTTGCGAAAAACTAACCACCCCTTCTCCCAGTCATTACAAATTGAATGTTTTTGCAATCATTCAAATCGGACGCTCCTTTCTCTCAAAATCTCGATTTCTATTTTCTGCACTCTTTGTTCTTTATCTCCGCAACGGCTGGACCTGCCTTTGCGAAAAACTAATCAGCTCATCTCCCTATCAATAGAAATCGAATGTTTTTTGAACCATTCAAATCGGTTGATCCGTGCGCCTGAAAACGTGACTGGAAATTTGTATCCATACATACACACACACAGATCCATTTTTTGTGAGGCATGCCAAATTGTTCCGAAACCTTTAAAACGTTGAGATATGCAAAAATTTTCAATTTAGATTTTCGGCCCATTACAATAACTTACTACTCTACGAGAAGTTAGATTAGAAAATAGATTTTATGAAGACTCTGATCTAAAAAGGTATCACCATGCAAAACCAGTTCATATATGATATAAGAACTATTGAACATGGTGTGTTTTTAAATCCTAAGATTTGGTATTGGTCGCTTATGGAGGCAGATCGCTTCACCCGAACACCCGTATGAGCACATCCTCCCAAACCCTCCAACTGGGCCAAAAACAGAGCGAAGTAGGCTCCGTTTCGACGACAGCAGGAGAGCACCAGGAAGAACGTGTCCAGGAACGGACGCTCAAGGGGACGACCTTTGCCTCTCCAAAAATATCCCTCAAAGCATAAATGCAATGAGATAATTGCTATTTGAGCACTAGACTCAACTAGGCTCGTATATTTTCCTTACTCATTAGTTTAAGGCACGAAGAAACGGAGCAAATGATCGTTTTTATATACTAGAGCGGACTGTATTCTGCAGCGTGCGGTAAATGTGATATCGGTTGACTGGAGTTGGGAGTGGGGAGTAGTGGTGATACGGTGCAACTCGATTATTTTCGAATAAACTAGTGGGGTACGAAATTGTCGATTGATGCAAATTGTTGAAACTTTGTTTATTGTAATTTAAAATTTTGAAAGGAATTTAAGTTTTTGAAAATTTGGAATACAAATAAATTTTCTGAGAATTTTAAAATTTTTTTGAGGTTTTCGAAAATTTTGAATTTATGATCTATAAAAGCTTTATATTTTTTTGATACTATGAAAAATTATATTTTTTGAAAATTTTAAATTTTTTTCAAAGCAATCGCTTGTATTAAGGCAAATTGCTGGTATTTTCTGTACCGTATTTTAAAATTTTCAAAAATTTATGAAAATGATGAGAAAATTAGATTTTTTTGAGAATTTTGATTTTTTTCCAAAGCGATCGTCAGTCTTAAAGCAAATTGCAGGAAATTTCGTACTAAATTACATTATTTTGAGATTTTTTTTATTTTTTTGTAAATTTTGAATTATTTCCAAATACATCGCGCTGCCTCGAGGCAAAATGCTGGAACTTCCAGTACCGTAATTTATGTCTTTTAAAAACATTACATTTTATTGAATTATGAAAAATAATTGTTTTTTTGAAAATTCGGAAATTATTTTAACTTTAAATTTCATTGAAAATTATGTAAAAAACTAGGTTTGTTTGAAAAATTAGAATTTTTAAAAAAATATGAATTTCTTTCAAAAGGCGATCACTTTTAGGAAAATTGCTGAAACTTTTCGTATCGTTTTTATAAAACTTTAAAAAAAATTGAAAATTATGAAAAAATTTAATTTTTTGAGAATTTTTAAATTTATTGAAAATTTTAAATTTTTGTCAAAGCGTTCGCGAAAAGCGAACTTTCCGTACCATACATACTTTATAACTATTAAAAGCTTTAATTTTTTTAAAAAATTATAGAAAAACTAGGTTTTTTTAAAAATTAAGATTTTTTTAAAATATTTTGAATTTCTTCTAAAGCGATCGTGCTGCTTTAAAGAAAATTGTTGGAACTTCCCGTACCATACTTTATAACTATTAAAAGCTTTAAATTTTTTTAAAAATTATAAAAGATTTAGATTTTTTTGAAAATTTAGCTTTTTGTTTAAACTTTGAATTTCTTCCAAAGCGATCGTCTGTAGGCAAATTGCTGGAGTTTCTCGTACCGTAATTTATGATTTATAAAAGCTTGAAATTTTTGTAAATGTAAAAAATATTTAGGAATTCTGAAATTTATTGAAAATTATGAATTATATCCCAAGCGATCTCGCGCTGCCTCGAGGCAAATTGCTGCAACTTCCCGTACCATACTTTATGACTCTTAAATGATTTAATTTTTTTTTTAATTATGGAAAAATTTGTTTTTTTTTTTCAATGTATGATTTTTTAAAAATTTTGAATTTTTTCCAGAAGGCGATCGCCTTTAGGAAAATTGCTCAAACTTTTGGTATCGTTTTTATAAAGCTCTAAAAAATTTTGAAAATTATGAAAAAAATGGATTTTTTTGAAAATTTAGAATATCATTAAAAATTTCGAATTTCTTCTAAAGCGATCGTCTGTCTTTAGAAAAATTGCTGGAACTTTCCGAAACATTTAAATAATCTTTAGAAGCTTTGAAAATTATGAAAATTTTTTTTTTGGCATTTTTTTGGAAAAATTCAGAATTTTCTCAAAGCAATCGCTCTACATAGCTGTTTTAGAGTTTTAAAAAGGTAAGGTAAAAAAGATCTGTTATCCAAGTGGTTAAATAAATTTTCACGATTTGCAAATTCGAAATAAAAATTAGAAGACTCGTAGAATTGTCTGTTTTCACATTAAAAATTTATATGAAGTATTTATTATTGTATATTAATAATTTTAGACAAACTAAAATTGGAATTCGACTAGAATAATATTTATTTGCTAACATTTATAGTTCTTTTAAGATATTAAAAACAGTTTACTTTTCAAAAAAAATATTCCTTGCAAAATTAATGTTTTCAATAGGAAATCACATTGATTGGTGAAAGCAAAATATCTATTTTTTTAACAAGCAGTAAATTTTTTTATCTAAAGTACTAAATCTCAATTCTCTGATTTCACTATACTTTAAACAAGGTGTTTTGATCGGTATTGAAATATATTATTTATTTAAACAATTGTGTAGACATAACTTATTTCAGCACAATATAAAGATATCTTGCGTATTGTCTGCTTATTGTTTGAATTACATCAAAATGTTTTCAATATAGCAACAATTTTATTATATCTATTAGGAAACCATTGTTCATCCTGATTATGAATAAATGAATTACACCGGTTTTGTAATATTGTGTTAAACAAGATATAGAAATAATAAAATAAGTATAATTTTAGCTTTTGTGGTAAATGTGATTAGTGAAGAAACCAAACAAAGTATATTGAATTATTGAATTATGTTTCTATCGATCGTGACCTTCAAAGAAATAAGAAAATATTTTCGTATTTTGAGCAAGAAAAGTTCCAAAAATACTTTTGGCTATTCATGAGAAAAATTAAAATTGATGAATTCGGATCGTATTTTTAGAAGCAATTCTGGGAAATTGCGTAGAAGTCTCTGTTCAATAACCTGAATGAGTAGTAAATCACGATACAAATTGGAATATAAATTTGCCTTTAATGTGGAAAATTGAATTTTTATTCATGATCCAGATATATGTAGTAAGTAAATTAGAAGAACGCGCGTCTTTAGCATTTTCCCACATGTTTATCCCATATGATTGGCATTTTAATTTTCCATCATACAATGTATTATACAAACCAGTGTCATTACAATCATATAATTACAATGTCAACAAAATCACTATGAAATCAATAACATAGAACAATACGAGCACGTGAATTTCATTCGTCATCCGACAAATCGTTTGAGGCCGATTAATTCATTATTACATTACCAGGATTGGTAATAAATAAATCGTTTAACAAATCAGGAAAATGTCAGGAAATAATTTCATATGTGTTATGGAATTATGATAAATTGGTTATATCATTATAGCTATTACATTGATTGCTTTGGAAAAACACCCATAACATATACCCATAGGTGTATAATATATTAGTGCTTAAATTAAAAAAAAAAGTTATATGAACATATTGTAACGGTTGGATAAAGAATTTAATTTTAAAAAGTATTTACTACATAGCATAAATATTAAATAACATTTTTATCGTTTTTTTTTTAATATGATGCATATAGAAAATAGATTTTTTTGAGAATTTTGGAGGTATTCGAAAATTTTGATTTTTTTTATGATTATTTTTAATATGATGCACTTTTGTCTATAAGACATAATAATTGGTTTTAGTTAAGCAATTCGTAGTATCCGTTAATTTTTTTACAAATTGGCACTGGTTAACTGTAAATTGATTGATTCTTCGAACTTGTATCAATATCTATAAAACAATATTTGAACAACTGATTTTTAAATAAATCCGAGACTAAAGTGCTAAATAATTTGCACTTTTCAGTTTAACGACTATATTTGTTTTTTATCACTTGTATGATAAATCTCTATTTTATACGTTAATATTTTATAAAAAGTTCTATAGTGCCCATTTTCAATTCACAAAAATATTATTATTATTATTAGATACAAACATTATTATTATTATTAGATAAAGGTATTTAGAACTCTTTATAATATCTCAGATTTAATATAATTTTTAATATTTTTTTCATCATCTTAAGATAATGTAGAGTAAATTTTCAAGATTTCATTCTGTACTAAATTTAGAAGGTTAAGTAATTACGTTTAAATAATTACGCATATGCATATTATTAAATTAAAAATAAGACTAAAACATTCATGATCAAACAAAACTATTCATATTAATTTTTGAAGGAAAAAAATGTATAACGAAATGGTGTTTAATATCAAAATATTTTTTATGAGAACAAATTTTTCCGGTGAAAAGCGTTACGTTAAATTTCAGTGAAATTTTAAATAAGTTGGCATATGCATACTATTAAATTAAAAAAAGTCTAGAATATTCATATTATTTTTGATGAATAAAAATGTAAAACAAAATGATCTTTAAAATATTAAAAAAAAATATTAATTTTGGGAACAAATGCTCCAGGTTAAAAAGAGTTACGTTCAATTTTAGTAAAATGTAGATATTTCTGATATTGAAGCTACAAATTAAATCGATGCATAATAACTACAATTTTAAATATTTTTACTAACCTTTTAAAAACAAGATTTATTTTATTTCTTTCTCGTTTTGAAGAAAAGACTACGCGAGGCATATTTTCTGATGTACTTAAAATTTTATGAAATTTCTTACAATTATTTATTGAAACCATATTGATGACATTTCTATAAAAAATATCAAATCGTTTGGATTTTTATTAATTATAGGAATTTTTTCACGTAACATTTTGAGTTATTTGTGGAATTGATAAGCTGCATTGATCTCAGGCGTTTTTAGTAGATCCAAAAAGAATTAATTATCAATTTATTGAACAAAATAAATGAATAAAATAGAATTGTCAATTGTAAAAATATCTCTGACAGCGTATCAAAAATAAAAATGATCAATGCCAACTTCATTTTGACACTGATATTCAAATATCGCAATCAGTATTGATATTTTGAAAAAAAAACTGAGTTCCAAGGAGGTTGCAGCATGTGCATATATAAATTATCCATTTAGTGGAATTGCAGAAAATTTACACTGTAGTATTGATTTTATAATATTTGTCGTTTATCGATGTGTCAATAAAATAAAACTTTATGTACTTATGACTTAGACCTCACAGAAGAATCATGTACGATGAGATCATTTCTAACATGGGTAGTAGAAGGGAACATAATAAATTTTTTTCAATTGGCTACATTTTTCTGATCTGTTTTCAAGTAAAAATGGATATAGCTAC